TTGGACAATCGGCCCGGATGATCCACCTGTTTAGCCTGTCCGATATACGTGGCACATGATTTAAACATTTTAAATTCGGCCATACGATTCATTATTGGACATCGTCCTGGATGATCTACTTTTTCAACGGTTGTCCATCTTGACTCCTCGGGATGATCGCCTATGTCTAATCGGCTTGGCCGATATCTGATTGGCTCGGACGATCAGACCGCCTTTTTGACCAATCAGCTTGTACGTAATTATTAAACTTTATCGGGCTGGATGATCCTGCAATCGGCCCGGCCAATCTGGCCGATCCTTTAAATTCAGAGCCTTCCAGCATTTTTCTTCAATCAAGCTCTCTCAAACTAGTGCTCTATTCTTTGAAAATGGCTAGAGGAAAGTGCTCTCGTCACCCGTACAGAAGTTCCTCGAGGGCCACTATGGACCCTTATACAGTCAATCCAAATTATCTCTCTTATCTGGTACTAGACTTATTTTCCCATACCTCCTTGTGCTTTCTTCTCACTCTTGTTGTCCCATTTAATTCTGAATTTCTCTATGAGTTCTTTGCAAGTCTTCGCATTAATTCTGCTTTTACCTCTATTGCCTCATATGTGAATTGACGCCCCATCAAGATCACATATCAGGATTGTGTAGAGATTTTACAGCTTTCCACCACATGGGATAAACTTTACACCTTGTTTTCTGATCCTGATTTTGACAAGGCTCCGACCAATCATTTTCTTCGCAATTCTAATGCCATTTTTCATATAGGCGAGACTAGCACCTTACTCAAGGATGCTAGGACCGTCCAGTATGTCCTTTGCACTTTGATAATTCCTAAGGATGGTGATCGTGTTTACATCACTCACCATCTTTATATTTTAGCAAATCGTGAATTCAATGATACCGACCTGATCTTTTGCTACATCGACCATCTTACTATCATTCGGGATCCAGGTCATAGGAGGAAACCAAATCTACCCCTAGGACATATTATTTCTTATGTCTTAGAATCAAAGTATAACCTCCAATATCATGCTCCACCAAACCTCCAGCCTACTCTCTACTCTAACATTTCCTTTCAAACTCTTCACAGTACTCGTCTCCACCCGTGGAACAGAGAAGCTCGGGCTGGGGAAGAGGAGGCTCCTGCACCTGCTCCTACACCTATTCCTACACTTCTTCTGCTCCACCAGCACTCATAGCTGGACCAGTTGGTGGAGCGGTTTAACTCGTGGGAGGCTTGATTTGACACTTACGTTGTTGTACAGGAGCAGCAACATGCGGAGGACTTAGCCTGTTTTGACGCCTACGTTGCTCACCAGTAGCAGCAGCACGATCAGGATATTGCCTGGTTTGGTGCTTAGTTTGCTACACTGACTACCTACTTTTAGCAGCCTCCACCACCACCACCTCCTTCAGACGATCAGGGCCCATCATTTTACTAGTTTTCTTTTAGTTTGTTTTTATTTTCTATTGTTTAGTTTCTGTTTTTTTTTCTGCTATTTAGTTTCTGCATTGTTTTTATTTGTCTCCTCCTTTTTTGAGATGTCAAGAGGGAGAGTAGTATGTTTGTACTTGTATTATTCTGTTTTGATATTTGATGTTCTCTATGTTTGTACTATTTCTAGTACACTATTGTCCTAAACTACTTAGAATTGTTCGTTGTGTATTTGTCATCAACAAAAAGGGGGAGATTATTATGAATCTATGGATTATGAGTTTGATAATAACAAACACTCTTGTTTCTCTATGACTGTCTTGCCTACTAACATTTCAGGTCCACAAGATCAAACGGCAATTGGAACCAGCTCAAGATTTGGTAGACTAAGTCCGAGTCACTTTGTACACTTTTCTTTTTCTTGAGTCTATTGTAAAAGATATGGCTCATAATGCTAAGTAACCTTACACACACATACCTTGGGAGAATTTCTGATTGTTTCTTAGAGTTTATTATTTTTGGTAACATCGGCTGGGTCGATATTTATATCGGCCTGGATGATCAGTTCAAAAATAGAAACTCTAATCAGGGCATCATGATTAAGGCAGTCGTCATTGAGCCGATCGGCTTGGACGATAATGTATCGGCCAGGTCGATAGGTTCAAATCAGAAAGAATCATCCGCCATGATCTATTTAGGTATTCTTTATTTTAGGACATAGTCTAAGACGATATACTATCGGCCTGGATGATGTAGCACAATTATGTCTAAATTAATTTGATAATTATGGAAAGCAATTAAGGCTGATTGCACGATCACATCGGCTAGGCCGATCTTAGGATTGGTCGGGATGATGGCGTGGACGATAGACATCGGCCTACTTCTATTCTTTTTTTTTTTGAAGAAAGGCTAATTGCATTAAAATGAGAAAAACCTAATACAAACTAGAAAGCAAAAGCAACCCTTTATGGATATGCGATTCACTAAGTTCCATTTTAGATCCATTGGGGTGATGGGGATACCAAGTAAAATAACAACCTAAAAGGTTGGTTAGTATCGCAGCTTTCCCAAAAGATGGAAAATGAAACCTAGTAAAAATCTCATATTTCATCATGATGGTTTTAAAAAGGTATAAGAAACCTATAAGAGGAACAAGCAAAAAATAACAAGCTTTAAGAAAAATAAATACAACTACTAAACAAGCTATCCAATCTTCAACCAAAACCCCATCCATCTCAGGGTCCAACAAGCTCCAATAAAGAATAGAAACCTCTGATGTTGTATCAACATAACCAACAACATCCACCAAGAACAAACCAATCAGCAACGACAAAGCAAGAACATCAACTGTCTCCTCAATAGTCCAAGAGTCAGCTTTTTCATAAGCAAATTCAAGCCGACTAAGAATCTCCCCCATATCCATCATACTGGAAAGAACTGTACCAGTAGAAGCCATACCAACAACAACCACCTGAAGAATCAAATACCCGGCTTCATCAATGCCAAATACAACCAAACTGATAATCTTCATCACTCTCTTCACATTAACAAGAGGAAAACAAAAAAACTTTTAATCCTTCAAATCTTTAACCAATACGATTTGATCTTCGAAGGGCAATTGATAAACAATTAACCAAACAATTACTTTGTCTTTAAACACAAAAACTAATAACTTCTTAAACCTGATAGATCCACGGGCCGAACAATTTGACGTTCCAGCCAACAAAGTAAAAACAGCAGTTCCAAAATCATTAGGTCCGTTTATGGATACAAGAACATCCATAAAACCAGCAATCCCGAACTCCAGTTAACATTCATAATAAAGAAAATTACCTTAGCAATTCCATTAGGACAATAAAAAAAACAAGAAGTCATTTCCATGATTGCCTCAGAATTTTCATAATTTTTTTTTTAAAAAATAGTCTCCGAGTTGGATTTGATGAAAATCCTCATCAAAGAACCATCGCGATTCAGATTACTTAGAATTTCCATCATTTATCTCATTTTGTTCTTTTTTCCTTCAAGAACAACAAAGATGCACCAATGAAAAACAACGGCCATACAAGGTCAATGGATCTTCGCCAATCGCAAGAGATTCGTTCGAATCGCTCTTTCTGACATTATACAAACCTCAGGTAGATGGAGATCTACAAGACTCCAAAGCATTGCCAATATTCCAAGATCACAACTATCCGAGAAAATCGCCAAGAGCGCCGAGCAAGATATCCATTCTGCTCCGCTCAACCAGTTCATCTCTCCGTCAAGAACAACAGAGAAAAACCAAGACCCTCTGTCAGCCATACAAGGCCGACGGAGAACCGCCGGTCGCCTGCGTTCCGTCAAAACAGCTTTGCTCCGCTCCGCTCGATTTTAATGCAAATTCGGCCTACTTCTATTGAGTGCGATGTTCAGGACGATTTTTCTCGGATTTGAACTAATCGGCCAGGACGATATTTTATCGTCCTGAACGATGTGACCAAAATTACTCTAATTGTCCCAAACCGACCGGGCTGATTGAGCGAAATTTATGCCGATCGGCCAGGCCGATACTTTTTGTGAGAGGGTTCACAAAGGTTGCTCCAAGCAAGGTTCCAAGTTGTCTTTTTCGTTCTTCGTCCTTCGTCCTTGAAAGGTTCTTGGGATGTCTACTTCAGCAATTGATCTGGGTTCTCTACCCGCTTCAGGAGGAAGCAAAATGAGTCGGTTCTCTGCCGCACCGGGGTTGGTGAAAAAGGAGTCTGTTGTAAAGGCTTCTCCGCCTAACTGTGGGAGCTAAAGGAGAGACACTTAGTTAGTGCAATACTCGGAGGGTGCCTCCGAGGAGTGGACGTAGGTCAAGGTTTGACCGAACCACTATAAATCCAGTATGTTCTTTCTTTGTTTCTACTTATGCATTTAATTTCCGCACTCATATTTTTATGGTGGTTTGAGTTTGTTGATTTTGATTGAAAGATTTTTTTTTTTAAAATACCAATTCACCCCTTCTTGGTTAGCCTCGGGACTAGTTTATAAGAGCTTAATATCCTTTATGAACTTTCATTCCACCGTTAGATCATATCAAGATTAATGTGGATGCTTCATTTTTTAATTCAAATCGTGCTCGCATTGGAGGAATTTTCAGAGATTACAAAGATAGACTTCTTCTTGCCTTTGGGAAGAATAGAGACACTAGAATGTCGCACAACTTGAGATGGAGGTGGTTATTGCAATAAGGGACTTCATTCAACGTTGGATGATTGAAAGTAAAGGACTTATTATTGAGAGTGATAATCTCAATGTTATTACATTCATTCAAGATTCTTTGAAGAAAGTCAAATGGCATTTGGAGAATTGGCCGGTCAAGGAGCTATTCTTCCTCAATGATTTCAATAAAGTCATTTTTCATCATGTTAATAGAGAATGTAATAAAGTAGCCGATTTTTGTGCTACTTTGACATTAGATGGTAGTTTTATTTTTGATAGTTTTTCTTTGGGTAGCATTTCGTCCTCTTTGCTAGATTTAATCAAGGAAGAATGTTACCCTTTTATAAATTGTAATTAATTTCTCTGTCTTCTTTTAATGCATAATTGTACTTTTCAGAAAAAAAAAAATATTCCGCTTGGACTTTGCCAAATAGAAGCGGAAGCTGTACTTTCCTACTCATAGCGTCCATTCCATGGCGCCTAAAAGGCGACATCGCCGGACAGAGATGGAACCCAACCGCAGGATGGTCTCAGATGAGCCCATCGAAGGTAATCAAACTGATGAATTCGATGGGCATCGCCGCCTTCCCATTTCGCCCTTTACTATTTTCTTCGTCGTTCTGTTCTTGCTCGCAAGTTCCTTCGCCGTTTACTGGGGCAGTCGCTCTACTCGAAAAGCTCCATCACATCACCTCTCTGTGTACGAGAGAGGCATCGTCAAGACCGATGTTTGTTATAAAGAGATCCTCATTGTAAAGCAGAAGACACCCCTCTAATTTTTTTTGTTAAAATCTCTACTGGTTTTGTTTCTAATCGCCGTCTTTCTTCTATTAGGAGAATGCGAGGGTTATGTTCAATAGATCTGTACGTCATTTTCCAAATCCTGTGTTGGCGTACATAACTCCATGGTTTGCATCTCCTGATCTGCTTTTATACTATATAGATTAGAGCAATTGTCCTGCAAATTAACTTCTTCCATCATATATAAGTGCACTTTTTTGTTTTTCATTTTGTGGCAGTTTAGTTGAACGGGGTTTGAATTGCATTCAAAATACAAGGTTTTTTAAGTTTTTTGAGAGTTTGCTTGAAGTTATATCAAATTGAAGGTATTTTTTTAGGGGCTTTGAATAGTGTAACCAGTTCTTTTTATGCATTCGGAATTCCTTTGATTCAGGTGAATTTTAAAAGATCATGAACGTAACCTTACCGCTCACGCGACCACAACACCTCCCTGCTCAGCGTGATACCCAACCTTGACGCTCACGTCGACACACGATCTCACCTTCCTTGGGTCTATGCGACCTTGCTCGTGTCCACACGGCCTCACTCTTGCGATCTTATCGTCCTCACTCACGCGACCAACCCGTGCTAGTGCCTTGACCGGCTCGACCTTTATTACGACCTTACCTTCACCTCCACAAAACCGCATGCGTTCCAAACGGTAAGCCCTTGATTCGTGACATGATGAAAAAATAAAAAATTTTGGATTAACTTTGCAAAAAAAAAAAAAAAAAAAGTGTTAATAATCTCCTGAGTCCCTGATTTTCTAGAGAGAGAGTCCTGGATTTTCTAGAGAGAGAAAAAACTTTGTTTTGAGTTTTTGATTTCCCGGAAAACTCGCTTTTCACCGATGACGGTGGAGGGCCGTTGGCCTTCATCCTCCGACGCCAGTGATTGTCGTCGTTCATCGTCAAATGCGATTCGTATTCTTCCACGCTCCAATCATGGTTTGTCTCCTCCTACTTTCGGTGATGCAAACTTGGTGTTTGATCACGATGCCAAGTCAAGGTTTAAATTTGCTTTACCCCTGGTTATTAATGAGGGTGGATTACTTCAACCAAAAAAATAGATGGATTGCATTGGAAAGGGTAAGAAGGTGATGATGGATGTCTCGGATAAATCCCAGAATCCGTCTGGTTTTCAAAGAGAAGTAAAATTTGATCTCCATTCCTCTAATGGTGATTCTCAGTTTTCTGGAATTAAAACTGATATGATGGTGTCGAAGGACGTCATTTCTTCTGATGTCTCGGTTAGAATGGGAAATGAAGATTTTATTTGTGGAGGTTCAGACTCTGTTTAAGTTTCGGAAGCTGTAGCTGTAGAGAAGTTATCTGTAATGAGGGGACCTGACGATGTGCATCATTCTGATGTTGATTTGGATAAGGTACGCAAGTGCATTTCAGCTGATCTGGGCAATTGCAAAGATGTTGAAAATTTGATTTTTGATATTCCTCCCCAATCGAGCAAGGTGATAGCCAATGCCTGGAATAAAAGAAATAATTTTAAAAAAGTTGATTTTGATTTTGGAGACTGTTTATCTGAAGATGGGGTAGTGAAGCTTCATATGCAAAATGAGGTAGAAAATACAAACAAATTACTCAAATCTTTGGTGGTGAAAGTGTTTGGAGAATTTGTGCCATACCATGCTATTGGGGTGGAGTTAAGGAGGCAATGGACTCAATTTAGAAAATTCCATATGACTTTACTTGGAAGGGGATGGGTATTATGTGCATTTGAAGACCCAAAGGCTCTTGAATCTATTCTTTCTAGCGGACCTTGGTATGTGAATGGGCATATCATTGGTTTGGACAAATGAAATCTTGCATTCCAGCCTACTTCTTTAAAAGGCTTAACAGCTCTTGTCTGGATCAGGACGCCTAATCTCCCATTATAGCATTGGGATGAAATTAATGTCTATAGAATTGCTTCAAAGGTTGGAACTCCGTATTTAATTGATGCAAATATGTTTCAATGGGGGAGAAGGGAGTTTGCCAGAATTTGTGTTAGAATCAAGCTCGAGAATAAATTGCCTTTGGGTGGAGGGAATTTCTGGAAAATTCTACCAGAAGATTGAATATGAGATAGTTTCTGATTTTTGTTTCAACTGCGGAAAGATTGGGCATTTGAATAGTAGTTGTACAAATGCTGGTTCAGAAAATATTCTGGTTACTAATCAAACTAAAAGTTCCAATGAAGGTGTTGCTATTTCAAACAAGCCTAACTCAAATGCAGGATCACGGGAAGGAGTAAATGAGTTTGATAAAGAAGGCTATGGACCTTGGATTCATGTGGATTATGGGAAGAGAAAATTCAGAAACTACAAATTTAAAAATACTTGGACTAGACCCGGGATGAAGGAAGCTAACAAGTCTGTGAGTGTGAAGGAAGATGGAGTTGCTGGGAAGATTCAAGGAATGAAGGTAGATGGGAATGCTGCAAGAAAACAAAATGAAGATGTTAATGTGGTAATAGTTTCTCGGGTTCAAGAACTGCAGCTTGAGGTAAATTCTGGCCCTCCTTGTAATGATTGTCAGGACATAGGGAATGATTCATCTGGTAAAAGAAGGAATGCTGTTTCGAATTCTACTTGCATTCCCAATAATGATAATCAATTTGATGTCTTGAGTCAACTGGTTGAGGAAGGGGAATGCCTGAACACTGAGGTACTAGAGTCTCCTAATGCTTCAGTACCTAAATCTGAAAATGTAGACAATATCCTGGAGGCTGAAAATGAAATAAAGGTAGTTCAAGCGGGCATCTCGGGTGATGGTTCATCTAATGTGAATAAAAAAGGTACGAAGCAGCTCAAAGGATTGTGACCTATTAAATTGGTTCCAAGGAATAGAAGATTTGAAGGAGAATTGAAGGAGAAGTTGGGGAACTCTTCCCCTATTATTCAATGATGTCTTCGATAGGATTTTGGAATTGTAGAGGAGCTCCAAAAAGTAAAGATTCTCTTTACCTAAAGGAATTTATAAAGGACCATGGGGTGTTCTTTCTTGGTTTGCTTGAAACCAAGTTGTCTTCTATTGATAGGAGAGATATTAATTTGCTGGTAGGGAGTGATTGGGACTTTTTTCATGTTCCATCTAAAGGTTTGTCGGGTGGCATTATGGTGTTATGGAATCACAATATGGCTTCGTTCAATATCTTAGAGTCTTCTTCCCAACTTGTAGTAGGGGAGTTGGATGTTATTAAAAAGGAAAATGGAAAATTGCTGCTGTTTATGGGAACAAGGATGTTTATAAGAGGTCTCTATGGGAGAGATTGGAATATCATGTGTCTAAAGATATCCTTGTGGTAGTGGGTGGAGACTTTAATTGCTTAATATCTAGGGAGGAAAAAAAGGGAGGGAAAAGATTTGTTTATTCCCTTGGACCTAAGGATATGAAGTCCTTTATAACATGTAATGATTTACATGAGGTTGGGTGTATTGGACCCAAGTACACTTGGTGCAACAATAAGAAGAGAGCTGAAAGAATCCTTGAGAAGTTAGATAGATGTCTTCTAAATTCAGCAGCTTTGAAATCTTCTCACCGTTTGGGGGTTAGGCATTTGGCTAGAGTTGCATCGGACCATTGTCCGATTTTGTTGAACTTATTGGATTTCAACTTTCCGTGTAAGAAGAATATCAAGTTTGAAGATATATGGGCCTCAATTCCAGCTTCAATGGCAGTGGTTAGAGATGCATGGAGGAGAAAATCTGTTGGAGAATTTCCTCAAATTCTGAATCAGAAGGTGAATAGATCTCTAAAGGCTTTGTGTTATTGGAGTAGAACTAAGTACAAAGACTTAAATCAATCTAAAGATGAGCTAAATAAAGAAATTTTGGATTTGCAATTGAAGGAGGCTGAATTCGGTCTTCTTTCAGATGAGGATATGTGGCTATTGAAAACAAAAATCGATGCTTAGAATTCTACATTTGCTCGTCTTTGTACTTGGTGGAGGTAGCGAGCAAAGGTTATATGGCTTATGGAAGGTGACTCAAACTCAAGGTTTTTTCATGCATATGCTAGTGCTAGAAGGAATTCAAACTTCATACACAAAATAAAAAATGAGAATGGATTGATTGTTGAAGACCAGCAACAAATAGAAGATGTATTATTCAGTTACTTCAAGGATAAGTGGAAAGTGAGGAATTGCTCTATGGTTGGGTGGCCTAAGTCGTAGAAGAGTTTGAATGAAGAAGATTTGCTTGTGGTGAATAGAGAATTTTCTATGGGAGAAATGGAGAAGGTTATCAAAGATCTTGGTGGGAACATTGCTCCGGGACACGATGGTATTTCATATTCATTTATCAAATCATATTGGTCTATAATTAAGGATGATTTATGGAATGCTTTGGATCACTTCTTCAAAACCGAAAAGATGTGTAAAGAATGGAAAAAAACTATTGTAGTGCTGATTCCAATGGTAAAGAATCCTTTGTCTCCTTCCAATTTTAGACCGATAAGTTTATGTAACTCTGTTTATAAGGTAGCGACAAAGATGATTTTAAATAGATTATTGCTTGTTATTCCTAAATTAATTTCGGAGGAACAAGTGGCTTTTTTGAAAGGGAGGTCACTTTCGGATCATGTCTTAGTGGCTCATGAAGTCTTCCACAAGTTTAGGTATTCTAAATATTCTAAAGGTTTAGTTTCCTTCAAGGTAAACATGGAACAAGCATACGATTCAATGGGATGGCCTACTTTGTTCAAGGCTTTGGAGTATTTTGGTTTTCCAACTAAATTTGCTAATCTCATTTTAGATTGTGTTTATAGTTTTTGCTTTTCTTTATCAATCAATGGGAATTTCTCTAATTGGATCGAAGCAAGGAGCGGTTTTCGTCAAGGCTGCCCATTATCTTCATTTTTGTTTATTATTTGTGCACAACTTCTTTCAAATGCTTTTTCACAAAAAAAGGATTCAGTTGGTATTCATATTTCTTCTAATGGGCCTAAGATCACTCACTATGCCGATGATATTATCATTTTCTTGGAAGCAAGTATGAAGATGATTAAGGAGATTAAAAGCATCCTTTTGGACTTTTGTGATTGGACGGGTCAAAGGGTGAACTCTAACAAATCTGGAATTCTGTTTGGGAAAACAGTCAAAAGGAGGAGAAAAGCAATTCCAAGAGTTATGAATTTCAAGGAGATCAAAGAATTTTCCTATTTGGGCATCAAGGTTGCATTGAGAAGACTTGTTAAAGCTGACTTTCAATTCCTCTTAGATAAAGCATTGAGTATGTTGAGTGTGTGGGGTGGAAAATTTATATCTTTTGTCGGAAGAATCACTTTGGTCAAATCGGTTTTGCTAACATTTCCTACTTTTCATTCAACTCTTTCTTTGGTTCCAAAAGGTGTTTTGAATGAAGTAGATAAGTTGTGCAGAAGTTTTATATGGAGCAAGAAGGATGGAGGAGCTGGACTTCACTATGTATGCTGGGATTCCATATGTAGACCAAATAACTTGGGTGGATGTGGAATTGTTCCCTGTTCTAAGAAAGCTGGTCCACTAAGAGCCAAATTGGCTTGGAGGTATTGCCAAGACAAAGACTCTTTGATGCATAAAGTACTTTTCCCTAAATATGGTCCAATTTTTGAAGATCTGTCTTCGGACAAAACAAGTTCAGCAGCATGGAAACTATTATGCAATGGAGGGGAATTTCTTAAACCAATTGTCAAATGGAGAATTGCTAATAGGAGATCTGTAAATGTCATCAAAGACACTTGGTTATTGGATAGAAGCATTGATAAATGGCCAACCTTTGTGCAATCAAGGGAATGCAGTGATCTCACGGTTGACAGGTTTATATGCAATGGTTGCTGGGATGTAGGGAAGCTTGGAGATTTCTTTGGTCTAGATCTTGTAAATCTGATATTTAGTGTTTAGATATTTTCTGAATGTTCAGATGATCAATTGGATTTAATTCATAGGAATTATGATAAATCAATTTCGGCAATGACAACCGAATCATTGGAGAAATGCATTACAGTTTTTTCTGGATGGAATTGGTTTAAAAATGCTAAACTGAGTTCAAGAGTGGAGACATTTTGGTGGAGAGTTCTTAATAATGTAATTCCAACAAATCAGTTCTTAAGCTATAGAAGATTACAAGATAATAATGGATGTCCAAGGGGATGTGAGGCGGTCGAAGACATTGTGCACATTGTCACCAAATATAGGAAATTAAAAGAAGTCATTCAACATCTAAACAATTGGGGTTTTGGTATTCATAGTTTCAATACCTTTGAATCATGTAGTATATGGTTGGATAGCCAAAATCATTGGTTTGTTAATCTTTTTTGCAACACGGTCTTCTTATAATGGAAAGCTAGGAATGAGTTTGTTCATAATAGACTTGCAACCAGCCCGTTGGTAGTTGCTACAAATGCTGTGAGTTATTCTGCTGTCTCTAAGCCTTTAAATTGTTTTAACTCGGGTATCTGGGATGTTAATCAACCAGCAAGGTTATTCAATTATTATTGGCATCCTCCTCCACCCGATTGGATAAAAGTTAATATAGATGCTTCCCTTTGTCCTTCCTACAAGGCTGAGATCGGTGGTGTCTTTCGTGACCATAAGAGAAGGTTCTTGATGGCTTTTGGTCAAAAGTGGATTCATTGGGATATCGCTTCATTGGAGCTTCAAGCTATTTTATCAATAAAGGATGTGGTTAAAGATTTGATATTTGCTTACAAGGGCTTAATCATAGAAGGAGACAACAAAAATATAATCAATTTCATTCAAGGTTATGTGAGGAAAGGTAGCAATGAATTGGGAGATCTATCATTTATCAAAGAGTTCAATTTTGTTATTTTTAATTTTGTTAAAAGGGAAAGCAATAAGTGTCACGATCCGGCCCAGTTAGCTCGTATATACAAGGTGGGAAAGAAATCGGACGTTCAGAACAATCACTAATCATCTTACATGTTAATAAAAATTTCTAAAAAGACTTCAATAACATAATGCGCCTCTAAACATTTTTATTTCATTTCAAAAGAGAGTTCACAATATATACAAGGTGACTAAAACTTCTAACTATTCATGCTATGACAAAGCCACAAAAAAGTAAGGTAACTACAACTAGTAAAAAAAGTAAAAGAACCTGTCACCCGGGGTACGATGACTGTATGTAAACTTCGGGTTGTTAGCCATCTCTTGTTGCAGGTTCTCCTGAAAAGCATCTTAATACTAGGGAATGAGCTAACGCTCAATAGAAATTTCTAATCCTAAACATGCTCACATGACTTAAAAATGAAATTTACTTTTTTTAAACTAAAGGGGACTTGCTTTTATTTGTTTTCCTACACATGCTAATTTATTTGTCTTAAGAATGAGAGATAATTTAGGTATGTCATGTACATATATATATCATGAAATGAATGCAATCTCATATGCTTACTTATTTATCATATACAACTGTCTCGGAGTACTAGGGGTGTACTGATCAGGCATACAAACCTCTTTTGATCATTTATTCCTTTTCCTCTTTTGCCTGAAAGGTCATAATGTTTCCGTATTGTTCATATGTACTTTTGCACCGTATTTGGTACTCTGTAATCAATCATGCACAATCATTTCTTTATTCTTTTCATATGAGTATACATTCTTTCATTTTCATATACTTTCAAATATTTCAAAACATGAACAAATATTTGATCTGCATTCTAAACATGAACTAAATAAACATGTAATGATTATTTAACATGTGTTTTAGAGAAACATGAAGTAAATGTAGTGTATGTTTAACAAATATCCAATTCTATAAATCAATATCATAAGGGCATAACATATAAAAGTGATATAAGCATGAAACATCAAGTGGACATGTAAGGAAAAGAATCCTACCTCCAAATACTATGAAATCCTCCTCTTCTCATCTTTATTTGTGTTTTTTCAAGTCATAACCTAAATAAAATAACATAACATAAACTTCTTGCCAAAATAAACTTTTATATTTCACTAATCCCCTCATAAAATTCTTTTATAAGCTTCATATTCTCTTCTTACTTATATCCTTTAGTTAATACATCCTCATTCCCACACATAATTAAATTTTATATAAATTAATTTTGGATTTCAATAAAACCTAAATTATGGGGACCTAAAATCTCATTCATTTCATTCTAATTGCTTCTAAAATACTCCCCTTCCTTATACATATAAATAAGACATTAAAATTTTCAGAATTAAAGCATAAAATAATTAAGAAAAATATTTTTTTTCTCAAAATTTCAATTTCTATCATTTAGAGACATCACTAAACTCTTAAGAATAGTTTTAGTGAACATGCAAACCTAAAAATTCTAAGTTAGGAAAAACCCTAATTTTTAAAAATCAATTTTCTTAAAATAAAATTCAAATCTTTGCTTAATCATGCTTTTAAACCTATCTTAATAACATTTCTAAACAAAAGAAATTGTTTTCACCAAACCCTAAATTAGAAACCTAAATTTTTCTTAAGAAAACTTCTTGCAATTTACTTAAAAACATATTCCTAAGCAAGCCCTAAAAGTTTGCTAAAGAAAATTCAAGAAAATCCAAACCCTAGATTTCTTACTTCAAGAATAACTCAAGAAAAAGATAAGATTCTTCAAAAAGAACTTACCTCCTAGCTTCTCAAAGCCTCACTTTACGTTTTTCCTAAAGGATCTTGTCGGAAAACCCACTGGCCGCCGGCCTTCGAGCTCCTCCCGTCGCCTTCCCCCTCTTGCCGGAAAACCTAAATTTTTCTTAAGAAAACTTCTTGCAATTTACTTAAAAACATATTCCTAAGCAAGCCCTAAAAGTTTGCTAAAGAAAATTCAAGAAAATCCAAACTCTAGATTTCTTACTTCAAGAATAACTCAAGAAAAAAGATAAGATTCTTCAAAAAGAACTTACCTCCTAGCTTCTCCAAGCCTCCCTTTACGTTTTTCCTAAAAGATCTTGCCGGAAAGACTGGCCGCCGGCCTTCGAGCTCCTCCCGTCGCCTTCCCCCTCTCTCCCGTCGCCCTCTCCCTTAGTTCGGCCAAAAAGAACACCAAGGAACCAAAATAATCGGTCCCTTAAGTAAGGGAGGGTTTTAGAGAATGGCTTATATGCTAATTACGCATGTACCCTTGCTATTGTCATTTCCCTCAAGAACTCCTAGGGGTAAAAATGGAAGATGAGGCTAAAAATTACTTAAACGTTATTCGGCGAATTTTAATTTCAAAATCGTGCGAAATTGGATACAAGTTCTTTATATCGATTCGATTAAAATTTCTTGACGAATTTAATAAAATTTATTTCGTCGAATTCCGACGACATTGAAATTTCAATTAAGTTCGCCGTGGCGCATCGAAATGCGTGCGACGCACTCAAATGACGAATTTCGGGTTTTACAATAAGTTAGCGGATCTTTGTACTAACTTTGCAATTTTAAGTTCTTTCTTTTGGGATGATTTAGTCATAAATAAGGTTCGAAATTTCGTGACGAATTTAATAAAATTTATTTCGTCGAATTCCGACGACATTGAAATTTCACTTAAGTTCGTTGCGGCGCATCGAAATGCATGCGACGCACTCAAATGACGAATTTCGGGTTTTACAATAAGTTAGTGGATCTTTGTACTAACTATGCAATTTTAAGTTCTTTCTTTTGGGATGATTTAGTCATAAATAAGATTCATCCTACTTTTATTAAGTTGTTAAAGAAGGAATCAAATGCTATTAGGATTTAATTTATTTTTTAGTTAATAATGAAGCATTTTATGCTTTTTCTTTAAAAAAAAACAAATGAACACCAAAAAATATTATTCTAAAATTAATTAGCAGAAAATCAAACACTAAGAAATATGTCAATTATATTTAGTTTATTTTACAATGTATTTACTATGTTGCACCGATACGGATGCGACAACACGGATATGACACGATACAAATACGAGAAACGTCAATTCTTTAAAATATAGGATACGGGTACGATGTGAACACGACGTTATAATTTATAAATCATACATAAAAATTAAGAAAGCAATCAAAGCATAATATTTAAAATTAAAAAAAAATGAAAGTAACATCATTTGTAGCCTTGTAGCTTATAATATCAAAATAAAAGTAATCATTAAATGTTTAGTTCAACAACAACATAAACATAAATTGTCTAGCACATGAAGTTTCAATTATTCAATAGAATGAATGATTTGATTAGCTTCTTCAGTGGTTTGTCTTTGAACTTCCATATCATCTTCAATAAATATCATAGCTTATAATTCAGGCTCATCAAGTGAAAGATTAGCAATATCTAATATTCTCATATCATCAAGAGACTCCTGACGCGTCATTTCCACCCGTTTCTTTCTTTCTCTTGGCGATTTTAGTGAGAGAATCTTTGGGTATAGCGGGGGGTGATCGAAGCTCACCCCCCCTCAAGCGGGGGTGGTGGTGAAGGGAATGCAGGTGGCGACGAGCGGAGGCGATCAGGAGTTGGATCTGGAGGATTGAAGAAGCACGGAGAGCGATCTCCTAGTAAACCCGCGATTATTAAGTCGAAAGGGAAAGCTCGGGCTGCAGGCAAATCGATATTGGAGGGATTGATGGAAGGCCGTTGGGAGGTCAAGCCGCGGAGCTTGGATTCCAAAGGGGCGCAGCTTGTGAAGGGAGGCTCCGGTCAGACTTGATCTGATGGGGTTGAAATGGAGGATTCACCTCCGAAGGTGACTAAGGAGCTGAAGATGAAGTTGGATGTGAGTATGACGCTCAATCCGACGTTCAATGTGGTGGATTCATCGATGGAGGTGGAAGAGATACCTCCTATCGTGGATTGCAGGGTAGACATGGAGGAGGTATTTGATGTGGATGCAGCCATGCCGGGACGAACTTGTTCGTTGGAGGTGAGTGCGGATCTAGCTGATTGGAGTTCTGTTCTTCTGGATGGTAGAGCTGCGATGGAAGAGATGGATACGGCTATATGTGGACTCGATAGCTCAATCAAGGTGAGTTCGAATCGGAAAGATCTGAATAATGTTGTTATGGACAATGTTATTATGGATGATAATGTGATGGTATATGGAGGGGGAGTAGCAACTGTTGATGCTGTAGGTGTGAACATAGGAGAGTCCAGCTCCACTGGATTAGATAATCCATCGAAGGGCCTATCAAGTGCCTGTGGAAATGCCGATTCTGGAAAAATTGAGGAAAACCTGGGAAATCTGAAGGAGAAGATGGTGTTTACTGGGTCGTTATTCGCTGCAGGAGGTGGCAGTGCTCGGAGGAAACCAGATCATATTCCGATCCCGAATTCTGAAGAGATAGATGCTATCTCTCATGATGGATTTGCTGTTGATCTTAATTTGGATTATGTGAAAGCCAATTTGGCAATGCTGAATAGAGCAGTGGTTGGTAAAATTTTGGGTAGAAGAGCTTCTTTTTTCCTATTGAAGTCGGAGATTCAGAGACAATGGGGAAGGTTTGGCGAATTTTAGCTAACCACCATGGGGTATGATTGTTTTGTTTGTCTATTTTCTTCTGTTGAAGCCAGAGATGCTGTCCTGTGTGGAGGACCATGGTTTATTGGCGGAAACATAGTGGGATTGGATAGGTGGACGCCGAGTTTCTCCCCGGCGTCTATGGAAGGGCTGTCCTCCCCGGTATGGATAAGGATGCCGAATCTCCCACTTCAGTATTGGGATGATTGTAACATCTATAGAATTGCGTCGAGGATAGGAGTTCCTCTCTGGATTGATGCGCAGACGGGGAATTCGGGAAGAAGGGAGTATGCCCGAGTTTGTGTTCGAATGAATTTGGCCAACAAACTTCAGTCTGGGGTTTGGGTCAATGGTATGAATGACAGATTCTATCAAAAGGTAGAGCATGAGGGTATTGGCCTCATGTGCTATGGGTGCGGCAAGGTGGGACATCAGAAGGAATTCTGTCCTTCTAGGCTGGGTGGTCAAGGAGATGCTGTGAATAGAAGAAATGTGGATAAGAGGAAACAGGGTGGACAGGTGGAAAGCAATTCTGAAAGCTGCGGGTAGCTCTGAGAAGCAGAACCTGATGCAAACCAAGAAAATCAATTATGTTGTTAAAACAGAAAGAGGAAGCCAAGTAAAGCTTAATGGTATTAGTGATAAAGGAGATGGGGAGGAGCCTTAGAAAGGTAAAGATGCTGTTAATCTTAATATGGAGGAATGCTCAGAGGACGAACAGTAGTAGAAAACAGAATGTTAATATCTCTAATCAAGTGGACTTGAGCAAGGTTAAGGAACCTCAAAGCAATATTAAGCTTACCCGTAAACAAACTAGAATGGGATTTAAAAATCCATTACCGTTTACGGCTGGTGTGAAACCTATTATTCCAAGGACTAATAGGTTCAGGATTGATAAAGAGCTTAGTCAACTTGGACCTATAGAAGAACTTCCAAGGAAGATGAAGAAGGAGATGGCTGAGGATCAGAGCGGCGGGTACGCTTCCCCTTGGGTTCATTAATGTCCTCCATCTTATTCTGGAACTGTAGGGGAGCCCGTAAGAAGCAAATGGGTTACTACCTGCGAAGCCTCATTGTGAGTAATGGGGTTTTTTTTTTTTTGTGGGATTAGTGGAAACTATGGTAGAAGACATTAGTAGATATGAGGTAGAATGGCTTATTGGAAGTGAATGGGATTTCATACACTTCCCAGCTGTGGGCCGATCGGGAGGACTGTTGGCTTTGTGTAGACGAGATGTCACGCAATTTGAAGTTATTACGGCTATAGACCAAGTGTTAATTGGGCATCTGGTGTTACCCAATTCTCAGAAATGGGTAATAGCTTTAGTCTATGCGTGCAAAGACTATCATGGAAGGCATATTCTATGGAACACTATTGGCTATGAAATTAATGCTGAGCTCCCTGTGATTGTGGGGGGGGGGACTTCAATTGTTATCTTGATCAGAGTGAGAAGAAAGGTGGGAGAAGATTTAGATATTCCAATGTTGCTCAAGAAATGGTTGGTTTCCTTGTGAATAATGACCTTCACGATTTGGGTTACTTGGGGCCAAAGTTCACTTGGTCAAATAACAAGACTGGCAACAGTAAAATCTGGGTGAGATTAGATAGAGTGTTAATGAACTTTGAAGGATTGCGAATGGCTCCTTTGGCCACGGTAAAGCATCTTCTTCGTATAGCTTCGGACCACTGTACGCTATTATTGAGCCTGTTTTCTAACATCTCGAGATCTGGAAGCAAATGTATTAGATTTGAGGACATCTGGATGACTTATCCAGTCACGTGGAGGTTGGTGTGGAAGAACTGGACCAAGAACGATTATGGACACCCGGCTGAAGTGTTGAATCGTAAGTGTCAAAGAACGCTCAGGGCGTTGTTCTTTTGGAGCCGTAACCGTCTGAAGGAACTTGGGGAATTGAAGGATTCTTTGGAAGGTCATATTCAGGAACTGCAAATGCTAGAATGCTCTAATGATGGCCTGAATGAAGCTCAAGATCAGGAACTTCGGGTAAAGGTTGTTGAATTGAACTCGACACTGGTTCGTATTGCGAAGTGGATAGAGGAAGGAAACACCAACTCTCATTTCTTTCATTCATTTGCTTCGGCACAAAGACGGGGGAATAGAATTGTTGAAGTTCAAAATTCGAGTGGAGAAAGGATCACTGAGCCAAATCTCATTCAGGAGTTCTTGAAGTTCTTCAGGTTCAAATGGAAGGAGAGATAAGGTCTTGATGGATAACTGGCCCAACTTTCAGAGGGAGGATATGGTCTCATAACAGATCAATGTGAGTCTGGAGGCAGAGATCTCGGAGCTGAAGGTTCGACAAGCTGTTTTTAGCATGGGGATCAATTGAGCACTTGGTATTGACGGTATTACTTCCTCTTTCCTGAAAGTTTACTGGGAAATTGTTAAATCTGATGTCACTAGAGCTATACTTCATTTCTTTTGCACTAATTCTATGTGTGAAAGCTGGAAAGATACTTTGGTAGCCCAAAAACTGATAGTGCCAATCAACCTTCTAAATTCAGACCTATCAGTTTATGTCAATCCTTTTATAAGGCGATTGCTAAGATTATCATCAATCGGCTGAAACCTGTGTTGAGCAACATCATCAGTGAAGAACAGGGAGCTTTTGTTCACGGGAGGTCTATATCTAGTCATGGGTTGATTGCACAGGAGATGATGAGTAAGTTTCAGTATTCGCTTCAGAAGGAAGGAAGGATGGCACTGAAGGTTGATATGGAGAAAGCCTACGACTGTATGTCATGGAAAACTTTTTCAAAGGGTGATGCTTCTGATGGGGTTTTCAGATCGGTTCATGCAATGGGTGATTCATTGTATTGCTCGGCCCAGGTTTACCCTTCTGATCAATGGGAGCAGCACTTCTTGGATTGATGCGAAGAGTGGGCTTAGACAAGGGTGCCCTCTGTCACCTTACTTATTCATTATTTGTTCAGAATTGCTGATCAAATCTTTTAAATATAGGGGAGGACCACTTGGAATATAGATTGTTAGAAATGCTGAAAAAATATCGCACTTGCTGTATGCTGACGATATTTTAGTTTTTGCTGAAGCTAACAGGAGCAATGCCATTCGGGTTGTGAGCCTTTTAAATGACTATTGCGACTGGACGGATCAAAAAGTTAATTGTGGAAAATCGGCCATCCTCTTTAATAAAAGGTGTCCAAGTTGGAAGAAGTGGACAATTGCCAAGCTGATGGGATACAGGAAGGTGGATTCACTTGAGTACCTTGGACTCCCCCTGGTAATGAAGAACTTGGTAGCTAATGATTTCTCTAAAATCATTAAAGGTGCTCATGAGAAGCGAATCTTTGGGGGAAGAAACACCTCTCTATGGCGGGAAGAGCTCTACTTATCAGAACCTCTCTTCTTTCGATTCCTATGTACTTAATGACTCATACCGCTGTTCCTAGTGGAGTCTTAAACTCAATTGAGAAACTGGGAAGACGGTTTCTATGGCAGAAAGATTATAATAGTAGAGGCATGCATTATGTAGAGTGGAAGGAATTATGCCAACCAAGGGACTAAGGAGGGTTGGGATTTCACTATCTATCCTCTTGGCAGGGTCCCCTCCGGGCCCGGTTACTTGGGAAATGATTCAAAACGCTGACTCTATGTTACATAAGGTGATAAGAGATAAATATGGTTTGGAAATTTGGAAGAATACTCAGGTTCGAAAAGCTTCAATCACCTGGAAGGTGATTCATGATGGTGCTATGGCCCCGTTCTATTCTGCGATGAAAGATTGGGGATGCTCAGCGTATTGGGGTGATGCAGGATCGTTGGATTCTAGACCGTGAGTTGGCGAGGTGGCCAACATTTGTAAATGTTATTGAGATGGAGAATGCAAAGGTAAGTGATATGTTGGTTGACTCTTTGCAATGGAATGGAGAAAAGGTTGAAAAATGTTTTGGCAATATTATGGGACAGCGTATTATTGATATTAGTACCAATAATTGTAATGGTGCTGACTGTCCTGAGCTAGGGCCTATCGTGCTAAAACTGGAGTGAACAATTACCAGTTTAATTGGATGAGAAAGCTGAAGCTGCATCCCAGGGAGGATTTTTTCTGGTGGAGACTTCTCAGGAATGCCATTCCGACCAATTTTTGGTTATTTCGGAGGAGACTATCTGATACGGCCCTTTGTCCTTGGGGATGCAATGTTGAGGAGAACTTAGATCACTGCACTACTCAATGTGGGAAACTGATTGAGGTTTTTGATATTTTCAGTAAATGGGATTTTGTTATGCCGAAGGCTAACTCCCTTGATGAATTGCTTGCAATGCTTTCTAGTGCAGCTGACAATAACCCAGGTATGGGACGGATTTGCTGTTACGCAGTGTATCAACAATGGCGTGCTAGAAACGATATGAAGCATGGAAGGAATTACATGCCTCCGTCTATTATAGCTGCTACTGTTCTTTCAATCTTGCCTAAGCCTTACGGTTCACCAATTCTGAAGCAATGGGACATTAACCAACCCCTTGGCTTGTCTTCTCACAAGCAATGGTACCCCCCCCACCCCCCGCGTCCAGGTTGGTTGAAGTTTAATGTGGACGCAGCCTTAAAAACTTCTAATCTGGCAGGGCTTGGCATCGTGGTTCGGAATCATGTTGGAGCATTGCTTATTGCGGCTGGTAGATGTGTTGAGTATTGGGATGCCTTTCAAGCTGAGATCTGGGCGGCTGCTGCTATCCGTGAAGTGGTCATGGATTGAATGCTGGAGGTGGAGGATATTATTATTATTGAGGGAGATTGCATTAGTGCAATTAAGTGGCTGCAAAATTTGAATGATCGTCGAAATAAGGTCCACTTCAGTTGGGAAGGGCCGGACCTTTCGTTTTTGATGGGGTTCAAGCAGGTTATTTTTTCGGTACATAAATAGGGACAGTAATCGGCCTGTAGATTATTGTGCCAACTTAGCGGTGCTCGATAGTTTCTTTTTCTTTGATGTTAATAATAGTGAATTCCCCTCAACTCTTTTGACATTGTTGAGGGAGGATAGTGATAGGGTTTAACTCTTTACTAGAGTCTTTACATGTAACTAGTTTTTGCTTCCTTATTAATGCAAAATGCTGATATTCAGATCAAGAGACTCAAATCCATATAAAAAATGAGAGAACATTGCTCGCAGTCGCTGAAGTAAATACGACGGGTCTTTTTTTTTTAGTTTTTTTTTGTTTTTCAACGGACACACGTATCGGATATGCGTGTTGTTTTGAAATTACATAGTATTTTAATTGGATACGGCAAAGCCATATTGGACATGTATCGGTGTCGTATCGGAGACGTATCCGTGTATCGGATACAACACGCCTTCATAAATAGGTGTATCAATGCAACATAGTGTAATTATAATACACCTGATGATGTGAACTTGGTGAATTGGAGGCCACCAAGGCTTGCAAATGTATTAAAGTTAACCTGTTATGTGGTTGAAGCACTCCAAAAGTTTGGGCTTGTAATGGAGATGTGGTGACTGGAGATACAAAATGGTGGATAGCATTAATTTGAGAGTAATTTTTTTT